AGAATAATTACCCCTGGGGAAGTGTCAGGAGCCCTGGGGCCGCGCATCGAGCAACAACCGGCCGTCGAATGTTTGGGAGGGGGGGCACAGGGCGAGGGCGAGGGCGCGGTCCCTGAGATCCTCGCGTCGGGGAAGGGTTGCGGCGCGAGGTCTTCCTTTGCTCTGTGCGACACGGGTCGGCCTCAGACGGCGGGGGATGAAGGACAGATGCCGAGGGGAGTGGCTGGGACTCCTGGGGGCCGCGCCTTGACAGAACCGAGACTTCGGATGTTTTTGGAGAGGTGCAGCACGCTTGCGAGGGCCAGGACGGCGGGGGGGGGAGCAGGACGGGGGGAGGGCCGAGCAGATATCTGGGCGGTGCAGCGCGGGAGCGACGTGGGCCAGGGCTTGCTGGGTGGTGGGGGAGGGGGCTTCGGACGGGCGGGGGTGGGAGGAGGGACTCGGGCACACGCTAACATTAAGCCGGGCCTGTCCCTGTACAGGGGGGTATTCGAACATAGTTTTAAAATAGCCTGGGGGCTATTTTTTGAGTCTAGTCTGGGGGCTATTTTTTGAGTCGAGTATTGTTAGACATCTTTTGAGCATGTTTTGAATCTTTTTCATTTTTCATCCAAAATCCCCCTGTAGGGGGACAGGCCCAACCTAACGCTAGCATGGGCCAGGGATCGGGGAAGGTACCCCGCGAAACATGCGGCCAAGGCCGTGTGGTCCGGCCGCGAAGCGCGCCGATTCTGCACTGAAGCGGGGCCCGCCGCGAATCCGCGCATCGCTGGTCTTAAGTCGGGCTTGTCCCTCTACAGGGGGAATATTCGAACGTAGTAAACAAATAGTCTGGGGACTATTTTTTTTATTTTTTTGACCATTTGGGGATATTTTTTGAGTATGTTTTATCTTTCGTCGAAAATCCCCCTGTAGGGGGACACGCCCGACTTAACTGAAGCGGGGCCCGTCGCGAATCCGCGCATCGCTGGTCCATGTCTGCGCTTCCTCGGGGGACGGGCAGGGAAGGTCGCTGGCTGGCAGCCTCCGCTGGGCGCGGCGCCGCGCGATGCGGAGCAGGACTCTTCTTCGTCGACGATCCAGACCCCGCCAGCCCGGCGGGCCAGGTGTGGGGAACAACAAAAATCGGAGGTGGATAGACCTCCTGCCCTGACACGTCGATTACTGAATTGGCCGGTTTCGGTTCGCGAGAGGGCGTCGCGGCCGTCATTTTTGCGGGTCCAGGTCCGTCGGTTTCGGTCCTAGGCCGTTTTCACTCAGGGGAGGTTTACTAAAGGGAGGTTTGTCCACCGCCGAAAAAAGGTACCGATACCGCTGCGCTCCTCATCGACCTCTCCTGGGGTGCGTTCTGCCTAGAGTTTCGCGGCGAAGCCTGCCGTGGCGACGACGAGGGCTTCCCAGGGGGCCCCGAAAGGCGAAAGCCAGGGGAGGTAGCGGTATCGGTACTTTTTCTGCCTCTGAGCCAGTGTATTTATATTCATAGATATGTACTAAAACTACGTGCGCGCCGTCCACACAGACACTGAAACATCTAACAGTATGAACGCTGTGGCTGCCATTTTGTGGCCATGCCGCCTGGAGGCCAAGGCCAATATTGTAAGAGTTGTGCTCTGTATGATTATGGTCGAGCGTGTGCCTCCAAGAAGGTCCTCTTACACAGCCTTGGTTTGGCCAGTACACCGGCACTGCCAAGTCAAGGGCACCCTGGTGTCTTGTGGTTAGCGGCCCATGCCTTCCATCGGCGGCGCCCCAACATACTAATATTATGTGTGCGTCGCCCCCACAGGGGCGACGCGCTCACCAAGATATCTTATAGCATATGCGTCGTGGCGGGCGCTTTCTGGCCGTACCGCTCGGGCAGCGATACACCACAAGATGGGTCTACTATATGTTCGGGTCGGACGCGTGCCTCCAAGATGCAAGATTGACATATCGTGCTAGAATGTCCCTGTGCGTCCCATTCCACATTCTGCGGCACCGTGGCTCTTGGAAGGGTTCTGTGCCTTCCCGCGTGGCCTCTCTCACCGAACTTGACTGTACTTCCGTCTTTCTGTGGCTCCTGCTCCTCCTCCTCCTCCTCCTCCTCCTCCTCCTCCTCCTCCGCCTCCTCCTCCTCCTCCTCCTCCTCCTCCTCCTCCTCCTCCCTCCTCCCTCCTCCTCCTCCTCTACAATTACTCAATATGAATACTACTCTCCCTCTTCCCCTGATGACGTGCTGGGTGTGTTCGCCCCCCCCCCCCCCCGCGTCCTGCTTTTTTACACAGGAGTCCCGGGCGTTGGGTTTTCGCCTGCATTTTTTTCAAAATGCTACTCTCGCTGAGGCGCGGGCCTCATTTTCGGGCCCCGCTCGTTCCGAATCGTGCTCCCGCTGCAGCGTTGGCCTCATTTCCGTGCTTCCTTTCGTTCCGAATCGTGCTCCCGCTGCAGCGGTGGCCCTGTTTCCACGCTTCCGCTCGTTTCGACTCGTGCTCCCGCTGCAGCGCTGGCGTCATTTCCCTTGCCATGCCACGGCATGCGATGCAATGCTACGTTGATGCTACGCTTTGCGGTGCTCTTCTACGCCATGCCATGCCGTGCTCTACAATGCATCGCGTACCCTTTCGGGATCATTGCCCTGCTCGACATCCGACTGTGCGAGTAGAGAGGGGATCTGCGCCATGGTAAGGGACGGGAGGGAGGGGTAGGATGTCAGATATGACGCGAGCGCACCTAGCTTGTCCTCCCCCCCCTCCTCCTCCTGCTGCTCCTCCTCCTCCTCCTTCTCC